AGAACCAAAGAGAGAGAGAGAGAGAGAGAAATGTTTGATCCCACATGAGGGATATTCCCAAGAAATGGGGACCCAAAACACTTTAAGAATCGTGCGTGACTTTGTAAGAAAGATGGGTATTCACGCGGTGGATAAAGTGAATAAAAAAATTTAAAGTTAAAATAAATAAGATATGGCCGGTTCGCTTTAGAAATTGTCTATTCTCTTCTAACATAAACGACCGGTCCCATGACATCAGCCATTCTATTTGTAAATCGACCCGTTTCTAGTGGGAACCGGTCAGTAACGGGAACCAATCAGTTCTTAATAATTAGAAGAATCAAAATGGTTCTTTTGATTTTTGATCTGGATTGGGCAATTCGTATCTAGATCAATATTTTTAAAACCTTGATATTATAATTGAGATACACAAATGACCAGGGTGTTTAGGTAACATTTAGAATGAGCAAAATGTTGTAAGTATATTTACTTATTATAAAGATAACCCTAACTGTTGTTCAATCTCGTTAAGTATTTTTGAATTACTTCCTATGGGGTAAAACATTGAAATGGGGTAAAACATTGAAATGACAGCTAATTTTAAATGGCATCCATGACCCTCAATAATAGGGTCTTGAACATGCGAGCCAATTCTTAACTTACGTTTTAGTTGGTGGCTCAAAAAAATGGTGTATTTTTTTATTTATTTATTATCATAATATCTTAAATTGTTGATCTATAAGATCATCATTTTAGCATTTTTTTAATTAATTGGGGTTGGCTATATGAATCTTGATTCTCCATTCTAATCTATTAAAAGTCATATCCTCAGTGAGGCCATAAGTCCCCATATCTTTTCGGACTACTTCTAACCACGTCTTTTTGGGCCCACCCTTTACCCTTTTCAGTCATTCCACTTGAACTGAATCTCACCTCCTAACATGTGTTGTACTTAGTTGGCGCCACACATAGTCAGCCCACCTAAGTCTACTCTCTCTCATTATATCTCTTATGAGTGCTACGCCAAAATTCTTTCGAATAGATTCATTTCTAATTCTATCCATTCTTATCTTGTAACTCATCTATCTCAACATCCTCATCTCCGTTACACTAATTCTATGGGTATATTGTTTTTTGTCTGCCCAACATTTCGCCCCATAGAGGAAAGTTGACCTCACTGCTGTCCTATAGAACTTGCTCTTCAACCTCATTGGTATGTGGCGGTCACATAAAATTCCAGTTGTAAATCTCCACTTCGCCCCACCCAGCTCTAATTTTGTGTGCGACATCTTCCTTGATCTCTCCATTTTCCTGGATTATAGAACCAAGATATCGAAAGCGCGGTCTTTTGCATACTTCTTGACCATCAATCTTAACTACTTCCTCGTCTCTACTCCTATTATTACTAGACTTGCATTCTATATATTCTATCTTAGCCTAACTAACTTTAAAATCATTGGATTCTAAAGCATCCCTCCAAAGTTCTAACTTTGTGTTGATGTCATTTCGGGTATCATCAATCAAAACTATATCATCTGCGAACAATATGCACCACAATACCTCATCTTTTAGGTGCCTAATTAAGTCGTCCATAACGAAGACAAAGAGGTACAGGCCCAATGCTGACACTTTATTAACTGAAAACTCACTCGTCTCTCCAATAGTTGTTTGTACACTAGTTAGCGCTCCATCGTATATATCTCTTACCAAGTCGATGAAGTGTCTAGAGATGTCTTTCTTTTCCAGTACCCGTCAAATCAGATCTCGAAGTACTCTATCATAAAGTTTTCTCTAGATCAATAAAGACCATATTGATGTCTAATCCCTACGCCTTAAACTTCTCAATCAATTGCCTACGTAGGAAAGCAGCCTCTGTTGTTGACCTTCCTTGCATAAAACTACATTAGTTTTCAGATACACTCGTTTCATGCCTTAGTCATTGCTCAATGACTCTATTCTAGAGCTTCATAGTATGGCTTATAAACTGGATCTCTCAATAGTTTGAACAATTTTGTAAGTCTCATTTTTTCTTGTAAATAGGTACTATAATACTTTTCCTCCATTCGTCTATTTGTTTTTTATTATCGACGTTCCTTTTCCCTCCAGATTCTCCTAAAACTTCTTTTGCCACTTTATTGATACATTCAGCCATCTCATTCTATATTATATTGACATCATGTTCAGAGTTTCATTTTTCTTATTCAACTAACTTATTCCTAAATAAATCTATTTTTTCTTTTTCTAAATTCTACCATCTAGTTCTTGGACATCCATTACTTTTACCACTTCTCCTGCATGTCTTTATGCAGACATCCATGACCATGAGCCTATGTTGGGTAGTTAAACTCTTTCCTGGGATAACTTGCAATCTTTACATGATGATCGATCTATTTTCTTAATTAAGAAGAGGTCTATCTGGTTTTCATATATTCCAATTTATATGTTATTAAATGTTAATTTTGTTTTTTAAAGTAAATGTTTGCTATTACTAGGTCATAGGCCATAGCAAAATCTAGAGATGTCTCACCCAGCTCATTTCATTGCTCAAACCCATATTCCCATGTACCCATTCATATCCTCTACCATCATTCCTTACATGACCATTTATGTCCGCTCCTAAAAAGGTCATCTCTCCATTTAGTATGTCTTGGACAATTCCATCTATATCCTCCCAAAATTGTATCTTAATTCTATTATCTAATCTTACTTGTGATACATAAGTACTAACTACGTTAATTATCTCTTCTCCTAATACAAGTTTAATTAATAAGAACCTAACACCTATTCTTTTGACATTAACTACTTTATCTTTTAAATATTTATTTACTATTATGCTTACGCCATTTCTATCATTATCTTTTCTTGTATAACATAGTTTATACCCATCTATTTTTTTTAGTTTTTTCTCCTTTTCATTTAGTGGCATGTAGACAAGCTATATTTGCTCTTCTTCGTCTCATTGTATCCACTAACTTCATACTCTTACCTGGAAGCGGTGTTTATGTTCCATGTGGTTAAATGAATCATATTATCTTGGACTAACTTTTTTACCCACGCTTGTTTAGGATATCGTGAGAACCCTTACATATTTTTCACCACAACCAGGCGGCCCTTCAACGTGTCGCTTCTAGGGAATACACTATTCTTTTGACATTAACTACTTTATCTTTTAAATCTATATCTACTATTTTTACCCAAATTTCTACATTTTTGCCCTATTTTCACTACATCTATTCTTTTGATATTAACTACTTTATCTTTTAAATCTTTATCTTCTACTATTATGCATATGTAATGTCTATTATTATTTTTTCTTGTATACCATAGTTTATACCCATCTGTTTCTTTAGCTTTTTTTTCATTTCCATTTAATTTCCTATAGACAAGCTATGTTTACTTTCATTCGTCCCATTGTATCCACTAACTCCATACCCTTATCTGTAAGCATTCATACATTCCATGTGGCTAAACGAATCATTTTCTGTTGGAGGGTTTTTACCCGCGCTCGTCCAAGATGTCGTGGGAACCCTTACCTATTTTTCACTGCAACTGGGCAGCGTTATGACGCGCTGTATCTGGGGAATACTCTAGCTAACCATTGCTCATTTCTCATTGTACCCATTACTTCTTGGAGCACCCTAGCATAAACAGATACTATAAGTTTATCAATATTCATGCAAAATTTTATGTTGGTTGTCCACTTAGCACAACCATACCCCTTCACCTAGGCATGGGTTGGGATAAGGGTAAATTTAAGATCATCACCCTTCTTAGATCAATCGTTGAACTATCTAAATTAAGTATTTTTGAATTACTTTCTATGAGGTACACCATTGAATGACAACTAATTTTAAATGGCATCCATGACCCCTCAATAATTTTTTAAGGGCCTTGACAATGCAAGCCAATTATTAAATTACTTTTTAGTGGATGGCTCAAAAAAATGGCGCATTTTTAGTTTCTTTATCCTTATCAAAATACCCGATCTATCTATATTAAATATTTTTGAATTATTTCCTATGAGGCACACCATTGAAATCAAAGCTAATTTTAAATGGCATCCACGACCCTCAATAAGTTTGTAAGGGTCTTGACCATGCAACCTAATTACTAACTTGCTTTTTAATGGGTGGCTCAAAAAATTGGTTCATTTTTAGTTAAAAACAGCCCCAAGTAAATATTTTTTAAAAAAAAAAACAGCCCCAAGTAAATATTAAAAAAAAAAAAAAAAAAAAAAAAACAACAACGACGACTACACGTCTACTACTACTACTACTACGTAACGTAACCTACCTACCTACTTACTACGTTAGTACTAGTAGTACGTACGTACGTT